GAGACGGCGCCTGTTGTCAGACCCCGTCAGAAGTCCCCCTTCATCAGCCGCGGCGCAGAGAGGATTGAGGCCGGCCAAACACTCATCCTCCAGCCTCAAAGCTTACGACCCTTTCTTCGGCACTGCAGTGTGGGCAGCATGCGTGGCGCCTGTGGGGTTGGTTTTGACGCATAAGCACGCCGCCTGGGTTGGGTTGGGTTGGGTTGGCATTGGTCGCTGCGAGGAGGGGTCTTTGGTCAATGTCAATTACTACCAACTACCTTATACTCTCGCCTTCTCGCAATTAGTTGCATGCGGAACCAAACCATGCTTTGCTGCCTGCGGCGGAGTTATTACTCATCATCAGCCTTGAAGGGGGGCGGGGGGGAGTTGGGGTTGGGGGTTGCGTGAGAGGCCAGGTGGGTTACTGTTCGAGATGTCGGGTGGGTTCAGAGCTGACCTGGGGTGGGTTCAGGTGGGTTGGGCCCTGGAGCTATGCCACGAGCTTTGTTCGGAGCTTCCTCAGCCTGAGCTTGTTTGAAGCTCCTCAGCTTGAGCTTGTCTACATGTGTGGCTTGCATGGTCACCGTATGCGGTCGAGCGGCTGGAAGGACCGAAATTCTGTTCATCGCCCGAGAGCGCATCTCTTTCTTTCGTGTTAGCATTAGCACAGAAGCTGAGCTCGCGCGAGAGAGAGAGGGGGGTAATTCTCAGCCTGTCCATCGTTTGCAAGTCCAAGATTGCCGCGACCGTTCATCGCAACCTTGCGGCGGCCAACCACCAGCCACCCATCATGTGTGGGCGAGACTAAGTAGAGTATAGTGGCGGACAACGCCCAGACGAAAGCTTCTCTCGGGTCGAACTCTCTCCCTGCCTTGCCCTATCACCAAGCAGAATCCATTGCGCGCCGGCCGCGGTCTCGAAAATGGGATGAAAGGACAGATGAGTCCATCCAAGTCGATGGATGTAGTTCCGTAAGGGCGCAGGCGCCAAGCGCATGTTGAGCATGTAGGATGCGGTCGGTCACCATGAAGTCTCTTCATGTACCTTTTCTCCCCTCCCCCCCCCCTTCTCTCTCTTGGCTCTTCCCGTCTTGGCTGGCCATCTCCTCACCCACCCCCCTTCCTGCTGAACTCACATCATGTCACCCAACCCCAGACGGTGCCAGGGCGACTGCCCAAGACGAACCAAGTCCACACACGGGCACGGGCGAATGCGAATGCGTGCGCCGAGCTTCCAAAGCTTCACGGAGTGGGTAGCGCATGGCCAAGGCAGGGCCGTGTGAGGAGAAGAACCCACCAGGCCGCAACCAAACCTCTTTACGCCGTCCCCCATTGCCCCCCCCTTATCCCATTCCTCAGGCGCACCTCGTTTCCAAATCGTCAAGGTCGATCCAATGGGACGATCCGTCCACGTGTACCCCACCTGCAAGGAAGACGCCAGGTGCGGCGCATCGCATGTGGTGGTCCTGAATGGGCTTTCCGCAAGTATGACACGGCACGCGTAGGGCGGCTGAAGGGGGTGGTTTTCGGGGTGGCGTCGTCGTAGGCAATTCAATCCAGCACAACATGTAGGCATGTCGTAGGCAGGCATGTTGTAGGCAGGCACAGGCACAAGAACTGGCATGGGCGTCGTCGGCGGGGGCGCGATAGCTACGACGGAAAGTAAGCTACGACGGAAAGTACGAGGAAAACGAAAAGACGCGGCCAAATGAAGAAAGCGAAAAGGCGCCACGCATACAGTCCACACAGACACATCCCTGTCTCCAAGATACGCGTACTTGTAACCCACGCTCCCTCTCCCTCCAGACCTTGACCCCCATCCACCGCTGAGAGGAGCTGTCCCTGAAGGCACCCAGGGAGTAAGAAAGGTGCCATTGTGTGAAAGCGTACAGTAAGGTTCAGTCAGCGTATGTTTGATGCGCATGTGCACGCACGCCTGGCCCTCCCCCCAGGATTCCAGGGCGAAGGCGAAGCAAAGGGATTAGCGAGCTGTCCAATCGCTGCGATTCCAACCCGAGGTCAGGGGGGTGGACTTGGGTGCCAAGTACATAGTATGACGGCGAAGTAAGGACAGAGCAGCAGAGAGCAGTGCGGAGTTGAAAGCCGAACGCGCGGGTTGGAGGCACACCAGGAGTCGGAGATCCTGAGGAGGGTTGGGAGGGGGGTTCAGGGGAGTGTCGAGTGTTTCGACATGGCAAAACGGCAGCGCCAGCACGATGCACTGCAGTGATCTATTCACCATGGTTCATGGGAAAGGAAGAAAGAAAGAAGGGGAGGGGGGGAGAGACAGCAGCTTTCTCGGAGAATGGAGCCCTTCGGGGCGGAGGGCACAGCATCAAAGTCCGAATGCGAGCAAAGGGCCCTCCAAAAGGTGAGAGAGCACTGTCGCGGGGAAGGGAAGATACCTACATGTATATGCGGGCGCCGTAAAACCCGTGCCGCGAGGCCAGCCCTGGGATGGATTCTTCCTCTGGGCACCTACATGTATTCACCTAGAAAGGGTCCCTGTGCGCGCCATGCAGATGTCTTGGAAGCAATACCGTGTACGACTCATTAGTGAGGAAAAGGCTAATGTTAATCAAGGTTAATGACGCCCATCCCAGCGTGGCATGGCCGTGACCTTGGCTCACCTTATCCCCCCCATGCTCTGTTTCCTACTGCAACCAAGGGATACAGTAGAGATAGCGTGACAGGACTCGGCGACGCATCGTTCGAAACACAGCCACGGTGAACGCGTCGTCTCTCATCTCCCACGAGACATGATGGGCGAAGAAGAAGAAGAATAAGGTAGACCCCCAGCACCCAGATGCCATCACGCCAGAAGCAGAAGCAGGTGGGGTCCGCTTCATCAAAATGCATCCAAGGGACCAACCCAAACAGCGTCAGAAGATGTGGGGTTCAGCACCCACGCACGCACGCGCCCAGCACAGACCAAGACATGGCCAGAACAGGCCACAGGACACGGGCAGCGGACAGTCTAAGGCCCCGAACCTCCGATTCCGAACCCGCTCAGCGCCCCATCTTCCTCCGTGTGTGTACCGGTCTGTCTGAGGTAGGTACGTCGGTGTGCAGGAAAGAGAGAAGGAAGAAAAAAAAAACCTCCCCTCCCCCCACAGATACTCCTCTACCTCTAGTCTCTACGCTGAAGTCTCTGGCGTTCCGCGGAACGCGTTCCATCCATGCATGATGACCCATCACAGGGATTAGAGAAGCGAACGAGATGACCTCGAGCCCAAGAGAAGACGCCATGGAAAACCGCCGTGGACTTTTTTTTTCACTGCCGTAAGCACCAGCCAGATTGAGGCAGCAATCAATCAGGCACCCTTCAGACCAGGGAACACACTAAAATGCCCCTAACCACCACCACACCCCCCCCTTGGCCTTCTTGACACTTGCGCACACTCACCTCACACACACACACACACACACCCCTCCCCGGCAGTTTCCCAGTGCTTCGGTCCCCTTCCCGCAACTGCGCGCCCTGCCCTGCCCTGCCCATCCCATCGCACAAGGCAGAAAAGTCGGGATCGATCATGATCGCTGGTCCCCATAAGTCCGCACCCAAGCTAAGGTACTAGGTGCCTTACCCATCCACCTACAGGTACAAGTACATGGCGCAAGCCACCTGGACCCTCCCTGCTCCACCCCATCTCTCTCACGCCTCGCGAACAGTGAACCCGGCCACGGCACCCCCCGAGACGACCTTGCATAAACTTATGCTCAGCGCTCACCCTCGTTGCGCCTGCCTGGCATCGTCCGTTCGGGGTCGTGGGTGCGCCAGCGGGCCCGTTGCCTGTTCTTCGGACCCCGTCTGTGTCCCATTCCATTTTCCGTCGGCCATGTCCACGGACTGGACGCCAGCCCGAGTGATGATTTTTTTCTGGGAACCTCTCAATGCCCATCATTTTCTCTCTGTCAAGTAGGCCAGACCAGAAAGATTGTGAAAACAAGAAAAATAAGCTGGGGAAGCGGAGATGCTTCCGCATATTCACCTCTGGCTATCTAAGCGAGTAACGTCTTCGTCCATCCTGTCTTACTGCGTCATGGCCTGTTCTAGCAACGTGATGGCCAGGGGGGGGGGGACGCTGACAATCCCCCTCGCTCGCTCGCTTACTCGCTTCAGAATCCGAAGCCTGCATCCCTCTCTGTACATGGTATCTGGGCGCGTCCTGGCGAACGCGAGTAGAGCCGAGCCTGTCGCTTTTTTCAAAATCCCATCCGCCCCTCCATCATGTCACCAACTACCTACCCAGTTGCAATTGCCGCCCCGGTTCCCCAGCCACCCGCCCCGACCACCAGCCCCCGTCCCTCCATGTCATGGTGCTGCATCGCATTCGTGATTCTTTGCAGTGTTGGGGACCGAATGCGCTCTTCTCCCCATTATCTGATCTCGCCCCTCGCCCCTCGCCAGTGTCAGGCGAGGGGTCCCTTTTCTCTGCCTGCAGATCGATGCTGTGGCTTGCTGGCCTGTCGATGAGTTGAGCTGTTGGCATAATGAGGCTTGGTGAGGTCCGAATGCGATAGCGAATGCGATGCCATACGATACCGTTGCAACACGGCACACAAACATGACACGACGCAGGGCGATTGACTTTGTATATGCGAAGGAACTTTGGTTCTCAATTCTAGGTGCCTCGTGCTGTACCTTGCAACACTGAACCATGCACATGCCAAGGCCTTTGGCCTGGTAGCCAATTCCTCGCATACGAAAACGAAAAGAGAGGGGGAATATGCCTGTCGGACCCCAACCAAGCGCCGAGCCGGTCCCCTTTGCTGCCCGCAATAATGCAGAGGCCATTTTGCTGACCTGCCAAAGTGTGCTTCTGTCGCTGTTGTACATCAAACATGCCCCATGTGGCTCATCCCAATCATGTTTCCCGTGAACACCGTTGCCCCTCAGCACCCAACCGACTGTCTTCGTCGTTGTGAGATGTATATAGATGGAAATGGAAAGGAAGAAAAAAACCCCAGAACCGGTAAACGCCGTTGATACTCCGTCGCCCAAGACGGTTCGAGCTTTTAGAGTCGCATGGATTCCGCGTCGTAGCCGCCGTACATCATGGGATCCCCCATGCCCATCATGACCTCGGGGTTCGGGCATGACAGCATGTGAGGCTTGATGGTGCCGAATTCCGATTCCATAAGACCCTGATTGAGCATGTCCATATTCGTGAGAGCCCCGGACTGTTGGAGGAACTGTTGCGTCGTGAGATCCATCGATGTCGGCCTCGTGGCCCACTGCGGGGCGTACGATGCAACGGCGGCCGGCGGCCCTGGAAACATGACCGAAGCATCGACGGGTGATGTCACGCTGTCGACATCAAACTCGTTGTAGCCACCGACAAAGCTCTGCGGTGACAGTGTCACGTTCGTATTGTTGCCGAAGACCTGTTTGCGATAGTCGGCCTCAAAATCCGAGTGATCCAGCTCTGACGAGCTCGATCGGTCAGAAAGGTTGCAGCTCGACCGTGACTCCATCTCAACCTTGACCGACTTCTCCATCTCGTGTTCCTTTTGCTGCTGCTCTTCCAGCTGGCGCGCCAGCTCGGCCAGACCAGCTTCGTCTTCGGGGAATATCGAATGAACAGGGAGATCGATATCGCTGTTGGGGCGTATGCAACCAAGCTTGGAAGCAATGTTGTGGATGACTGGCTGTCGCCCATCGTTGAGCTCTGGTTCGCCGAGGTCCCATTGTTGCTGATTCCTGAGCATGCTGTAGACAGCATGCTGTAGAGTTTGTGAATCCTTCGCGACCGGGGCTAAAGCGTAGGCCGAGGGTAGCCAAGGTTACTAGGTAGTCGGACGAAGGCCTACCGGCAAACAAGACCA